CTCGTTCGCGAAATTATTTATATGTAATTAAATAAAACTCAATGTGGATAATACCTATTCGTCCCTGACACCGCAAGAAAATTTTATTCGTCGTTTACTTTCCTAATTATTCGGAAATCGTGACGGCAATCGCGACAAAATTCTGTCGGATTTTATCAGATTTTCCTACTGATGTATGCGCGCGAAGTGTACAATAAATGCGTAAGAATGTCGGCCGATTTGTTTCGGCGCTCTCATTTTCTTACTACGTGTAAACGAGGGTAATAGAAGAACACAAGGAGGGCCGGGGGTGCGAACCCCCCGGGACGGTTTGTTCCTGCAGGACTCCCACGGGAGGCCGTGGTAGTTCCTGGGGCACACGAAGGCGGGCCGCACATCTGTCGAATCTCCCGAGAGATATCCCCGCAGAAGACGCGCAGGACGCGCGTATTACACGGACCGCCGACGCCTCCGCTCGACGTCGTTACATCGCGCGATACATCGCATGTGCTCGCCTCTCCGGCTAGATTATACCCCAAACTTTCGCCACATGGACAGTTAAAGCGGGTGGCGCCCAAAAATTCTCCGGAGGGAACAAAGCGCTTTTAATGATGTTAAACTATGTCGCGAGAGCATACATTGGTAAAAAAAAAAAGATGACAGAATTGTAACTTGCCTCGCTGAAGAAGTTCAAATATGCACAAATTAACAGATACAAAGTAATAAAGGATATAAGAACCAAGACGGATGTTAGTGTCTAAATGATTTTATTTTCTTAATTTAGATGAGGAAAATTTTTAGCAATAAATTAAAAAATGAAAATCATTTAGACACCAACATCCGTCTTGTGATTTCACATCAGAGCCTTATGAATTTTATTTGTACAAATCAAATAGCATATTATATACTTCCTCAAAAAGGTTTTGAAAAAAAATCAAAGAACTGAGAGTCAACTGACGTCTCACGAGGGGTAGCTTTTTAGTATCAAGTGCAAAGTTTCCGGGAGAGATCGGTCCGTTAAAGTAAACACGAAAGTTTATTTCGAGCTCTCGCGAAATCGTAGATTTTGAGATCGATCCTTAAATTCCTGTCGACGACTTTGCTCTAAACGAAATCTCGTTACCGTTCGTGCGCAGCCGTAAACTGCGACGTGGGACCACCACCGACTCTGTGCACACACTTAGCGGGTGCACTTGCAACAAGCACCAGGGGTAGGAGCTTGTGTATACACGATGTGTACGCGAAACACATGGGGACGTGCACGCGGCGGCATCGTTGGCGGCCCCAGCGGGGCCGTGTCGAGGATACGACGCGGAGAACGTCCGCTCGACCCCCGGGGGGTCGCAGAAACACATCAAAATCGAATTCACCAGATGTCCAGGCCGATGCGAGGCGCACCCTTCTCTTTCCCTTACCTCGGGACACGAGGATGTCGCATCCGCTAACGACGTTCGGGGCGACGTCGGTCGCAGATGCGTTTACGAAGGCGATTTGGGGAAGGAAAAGGATTCGACTCGCCACCTGAGCTCGCCCGCCCTTCAGCAAGGGCATCTTTCTTCGAGAAAAAAAAAGGAAAAGATATAAGCGAAGGTAACCGAAAAGTTAATATCGATAATAGTAATTTATCTAATTGTTAAAATAATTAATAAGAGTTTGCTCCTTCAATGATTAAAGTATAGAACCTGCGATCCCGAAATTTTCCACTTACAGTTGTGAATGATTTTCTGAATTGTTATTGTGAAGTCTTTTCAGATAATTAGTCAATTTTTCCTCTCTTTCTGTTTTTATATTATTTTAAATAATGTACATTTTATTAATGCATATATTTAAATCTTTTGAGAAAACGTTATTTAAAGTAGTTTTATGAGAGAAACAGAGAGAGAGAGAGAAAGAGATTTACTAGAATGTAATTGAATAACATTTGAATTTAATTATCGATTTAATATCAATAAAGTTTCTCGTCGTGTTTCTTGTGATAAGAGAGTGCAGAAATTATTTTAAAAAAATATAAATCACGACATGTAAAATAAGAAATACCGGAATGCAAATGCTGTGTTTAATGAAATTTCAGCGGAATTTCAGTGATGGATTTGCAAGCGTGGGATGTAAGCGTTGTTGTAATTCTGTTACGTCATCATATGCGGCGAGCGTGTACCTGCTTTTCGCTTTGAATTTTTTCGCGCACGTCATTCCGGTATTTAGCCGGATTGCCTTTTGAATAAGTCCAACGCGCTTTTTGACGCGCGAAAAAAGCGCTGTGCGGACCGACCGACGCGACGTAGGTACGCACACATTTAGCGTGGCGTAACGTAATGCAGCGTAATGTGTGGCACACTTGATTGGCGACATATAAACGCGACAATTGCACGCGAGAGCTGCGCCCAAAAGCAGCATTTGCGTACGCAAGAAACCTGACACAATTTATAAACTGTACACCTCTCTCGAATAACGCAGAGAATTGATTTCAGTTTAAAACGGGGAGTTGTGTCGCAGAATTTCTCGTGGCGCACGATGCGCCGATTTCATCCTCTCAAACAGGCGAGTAATCTTTGCTACTTGACACCTACGACCATTTTGCCGCTTGACAACTAATAATTTCTTCGTCCCGCTAAAGGAGCGATCTGACGCCGCGCGCTACTAACGAGGATGATAAACTGTCTTCGGCGGCTTTCTCGATACGTGTGTATCGAATTCACGGCCAAGTATCGCGTCGCAGTTCATTAGGCTAACGCTACTGAAATCGTCGTGACGCCGGACGTCTGTCGACGGCAATGCGTGCAGAAATCGAAGACAGTGGCACGTGATAATAAAAAAAAAAAGAAAAAAACCGTAAATGGTCACTTACCTCATTAACTTCCGTCGTCAGGCGATTTCTTGCTGCCGTCTATCGTTATCGATATCTGATCGCCGTTACACAGATACGTTTTCCTAATTAGCATAAATCAAAGGTTCCGTCGCGCCAATGTTGTCGTCAATCTTGATCGACCGACCACGATCAAGATTAACTGCTATTGGTGCGACAGACCTTAAACAGATTAAGATTATGCCCGTTAGCGAATAATTCGGCTACGATAATTTTTGCAAGGACCAATCGTCGGCTACTCGAGAAAAATTACTCTTTCAACCCTTTCACCACTGAGACATGTAAGCCCCACTTACATTTTTGTTCAACGACTCCATGATTTAGCATGCAGTTTTATTGCTGAAAAATACGTAAAAAAATTTAAAATAAAGCATAATTTTGCCGCGAAAGGGTTAATTCAATTTCTTAATTACCTAATTCTCGTATGTGAAACGTGGCTTGAGGCAGATCTCGATTTGATTACCGGTTGGATCGTTTTGACGAAACAAGCGAGGAGTTTGCGAACATCAAGCTGTTGATCCAAACGACCAACCAGACGCTTTCCTCCGTCCTTCCGCATAATGTCACTCGCTCAGCCGAAGGAAAAGCGTCAGAAGGAAATGAAATGTGCACAGCTCCGCATACGGAAATACGAGGTGGTTTATTATAATAGTATTTATAATCGTTCTGCGTCGCGGCGGCGCATCTCTTTCCCGATCTGCCTTACTCTCGGTGTTGTTGCGTCGCAATACACATATATATATGTATATATATATAACTTTTGTTTACTTCCGATGGCATTCGCGTGGAGTAAGTCCAGCCGTCTCGCGCAAATCGGCACGCGCGCATTTTCAGCAAAGAGAGAGAATAGAGCGTGTCTTTTTTTTCTGCGTGTTCCTCGTGTGTATTTACATCGATCTCGCCGCTCTTAACAGATACAAATTACACGTTTCCTATTTATATTTATACTTTAATGATAATATTAGTACAGCGTGTCCAAAGTGTGTGGATAACGTGTATCTGTACGTATGCACGTGTGACGTCGCGTGTAAGTGTGTGTACGTGTCCAGCGACCGGTGTACGCGTGTCTTTATCAGGTGTACAACAGCAGATATCTACAGGGTGTCTCCAAAGTAACGTCGAGAAAAGAAATAATAATCAACAGGGAGGGGTACAATATTACACGATAGGGACCTCTTCGAATTTTATACACAATAATAATAATCAATAATTAATAATATTAATAATAATATGAAAATAATAACGTCGGCGTCGCGGCGCCGAGGTGCGTAATCAGTAGAGATAATGAGCGTCGACCGTGGGTCGACGACGATAACCGTGAGTCGAGGCGCGCGGACCAACGGCTTCGTGTCTGTATCTTACATAAGGTGCGAGTCGATTTCACGACGACTCGATCGCGAAAACGGAAAGGACGGGGGACGAGAGTGGGGGTTGGGGGGGTTGGGGGAGGGAGGAAAGCAACGAAGCGAAACGCCGAGCCTTCGGTCGCCCTCCGGACTCGAAATCGCCGGCAGCCCGCAGCCCGTCGCCGTCGCCGTTCCTCGTGCTCGCCCTCTCGCGCATCGGCGGCGCGCACTCGCGATCCCGTACGGTTTTAGGCGCGCGGGCGGAATTGTTATTATCATAAAAGGGACGTTAATTAAAACTCGTACTACCAGGCGAGCCCTTCGCTCTGCATCTGGTGCGGCTCCAGGAACCCGCCGCCCGCGACCCCGCCGCCACCGCCGCCGCCGCCGCCCGGACCGCCGCCGTTCCCGCCGCCGCCGCCGCTCGGATTACCCTGCCCTCCACCTGGGAACAAGCGAACGCGCACGGCGTCGATGCCAATTAAGATTTAAATCCCGCAGCGTGCAGCGCAACGCGACGCGACGGACCCAGCCGGCGGCCGGAAGTCCCGTGAAAGTCGGCGAGACAATCCGCCGCCGGCGGTTTATAAATATTAACGCGATCTCCGATAGCCCGCGGTACACTTAATATACCCCGTCGTTGCGCGCACATCTTTCGAGTGAAAACGTCTCTTCTCCAACTGCGGCCGGCTCTTTTCGCCCCATCTGCGTCGTGTCGGCGAATAAAAGTGTCCGAGTAGCGACAAACTTTTCGAGCAACTCAATCGTAGCAAGGATACGAATTGTTTTAAATTCCGAAAAACCAGAGAATTCTCGAAAGTCTCCAACACGCAGAAAATCTCGCCGTATATTCCAACTAGTCGAAAGCGGGTTTTGTTTGCCTCGAATCCATCGATTCAGAGAGTCGCGAAAAACTCCAATATTGTCGTTATTCTATTATCCCTTACAGGCATTATGTATGTATGTACGTAAAACGTAACATTTGCTGCCGTAAATTTCAATAAATATGATAAAAGTGGCCGCGTTGCGAAATTCTCAAACTTTTGCCCTCGGGCTACCAGAAGCCACGTTAGCCACGTTAAACGCGCTCCTTTGTGATTATTAATGCGACTATCGCTAACTGCACTTTCCACGACGAATTAATAACGTGTGTGTGACTTGATTGATACGCCGGCGACAGCCGGATAAGACGCATATGCGTATCTGACGCTCGTTGGAAAACGTGAATTTCAAGTATTAGACGTATCGCGAAAGGTCACGCCAGGTGATTGCCAGATCTCAATTATCCGTACGACAGGCTCAGAAGGAAATGACATTCACGCAGCCGTGTACTTTGTTGCAGAAAATCCTAGCCGGCTAGAAATCTCCCCCTTTCGTGCGCGAAATAACATCGCGACGGTGCGCGAATAATGGCGCGCGATGCCGCGCGATAAAAATGATACCGCGTGCGAAAGGTTAACGGCAACGTATAATTTTCATTTCAACGTGAAACGTTGAATGGCGTGAAACAGTTTCGATTCGATACCGCGTGACTAAAGCGTTCCTAATTAACACGACACGGCATGTTCGATGTAACAGAGATGTGTATAATAAATCGTCACGAATAATCGTCACGAAACGGCCCAAGTGAACATTATACAATCCCTCTTTCCCGGCCATTAATTTGTGCGCACTACCGAAAATCAAGTTACGAAAAATAATTAAGATAGACAGCGATGTAAAATATAATGAAGTGGAAAAAAGGCGAAACTGTTAAAATACTGACGTTTAGTTACCGACGAAGAAATTATTCGACGTTTACGAAGAAGCGGATCGTGCGGGATATTATTTTTCGGCGCGAGAAACGGGTCGATCCCCTTCAAACGCTCGCGAGTTAATGGCTCGCCGCCGCATCGCGAAAATAACGCTAATAAATCGGCGCGAGCGCAAATATTAAGCCCGCTTGCGGGCAGACCCGAGGTAGATTGGCGATCGCGATTCGGCCGATTTTCGGTGGTAATGGTACGGAGGGGATATTTCCCTCTTACCTGAAGGTGCCAGGAACTCTCCGGGGCTGCCGCCGGTGGGCGCAGGGGGCCCCTGCCCGGGGGGCCCCGTGAGAAATTCCGGAGGGCCGCCCCCCGCGCCCGGAGGTGGGTATTCCCCTGCCACCGCCACTGCGGCTGCCATGCCCGCTAAACTGGCCGGGTCCAGGCCTGTCAGAAACAGATTACGTACTGCTCTCAGAGGGGATCTCGTATCCGCTCGGCCATCTCCGAAACCGGCTGTCATAATTATCGCGGGGGCCTACCTACTTGATTCGAGGTTTATTATAATTACGCGAGATTCCGGGACTAGGCTCTCCGGGCCCCGACTTTCGATATAGACGGGGCTGTTTTTTACCTCAAGTTTTTGTGTTATCGAGACAAAAGCCGCGCAATTAATAAAACGCTGGAATTTTACGCAGAGATCTCCGATCGCGAGTAAGAGGATGCGAAAAGTTGATAAAAAAAATTACGCAACAAGAGGATCTGCGATATCCTCGGGTTTTCCAACGTCGATTCTAGTCCCGAGACCAGAATCTATTTTGGCTTCAACATCGTGAGAGGATGCCGATAATAATGACAACGATAATCATCTGTGATGGCGGGAGATTCACCTGGATTTCCCGTACCAGCAAAGTGCGGTCCGTGCGGATGCGGGGGCGGATGCGCGCCGAAGAACTCGTGGTGGAAGGCCACCGGGCCGCCGTAGCCGAATTCGAATTTGTCCGGGCCGAAGTACGGGAAGCCGGGCGGCGGCCCGTCCTCGCCGCCGAGGGCGCCCGGGTTCAGATTCAGCGGGAAGCCGCGCATCTTGCGCGAGCCCCCGAAGAAGGGGTTCCTGCCCATCGACGTCAGCTGCTTCAGCCTGCGCTCCTTGCTCCTCTTGTTTTGGAACCAGACCTGAAACCAGCGAACCGGCCGCATCTTTAATCGATGAATTATTTAACAACGGCCCGCCCTGCTTTCCTCCGCTGCCTTTTCACTTTGCTCATCTTACAATTATATAAATCGCTCTGACAATAAATGCTAATATGACAGACTCTCCAAGATTGTCAAAGAATATCGCGCTTTTACTCGCCAGTTTCCCTTTACCTCCTTTTTACACTTCGTCGTTGTCATGTTAAACCGTAGAGATACAACGTTCCGAATGGACGTGGATCTTAAAATACGCGATGTATCTTAGCTCGCTCCATTTCGTTCCTCCTTTTACATTCTGGGACACGAGAAAACCGTGGTAAACAATTTTTTATCGGCGACATATCGCGAATTACCCGATGGTGCTGTCGCGAAATAATTTCTCGGTAAATAATATGACGCTGTACCGAGTGAATAATTCTCCGGCAAATGGTTTGTCGACGCGGTTTTTTCCTACCTGTTCGCGATGACGGAGAACTTCTGAACGTTGCGTTGTTTTCAACGGCGATTTAGGTGCTAGTTGCATAAAAGTTGCATAAATATCGCCGATAGCGCGGATCGCGATTCACATCGATATTAACAGCGATTCTCTTCGTAAATCAAAGAATTGAATGCCTGATAAGCAAGTGTCGTAACAAAAAATGATAGAGGAAGAGTCAATTATTACACTGATAAAAATGTCCAACTAAATATAATCGGATAATCCAATTACATAATAACAAACGGATATATCCAATTAAATTATATATTCGATGAAAAATATGATCGGTTTTTCGATCGAATTTCATCGGTAACTGCATTTTATCGGAGAAATTTCATCGAATGTATCCATAATTTAATCGGAAAAATTAATCATCGGAAACATCATTTAATTAGTTTGTCCGATGAATATTTTTCTCAGTGCACATAGACTAATAATAACCTACTTTGATGACATTATATTTTTACTCCTCTTTTGAATCTTTTATTCTAAAAATTTACTTTAGCTCCTACTTAAAGACCTACTTTAATGCTAAATTGGCAAAAGTAGAAATCTCCGACACTATCAGTTTTAAAGTAGGAGTAAATTTTGTACTTGCAGTCCAACCTCTTTTACTGTCTTAGGTCTTACTATATAATAGAATTAAAGGTTCAACATAGGACCAAAACTTTGACTCGGGTTATTTCATAGATTTTAATAGGGCGCTACTTTTTATTTCGAATTTTTATTTCGGATTTACTTATTGCGGCGTTTAGCTAAACGATAGCGCGATCAGTTTCACCAAGACACTTTTCGCTGCAGGGGAAATAGAGTATAATAGACAGACAAACGCGCGCGAGAGAAATTTCAACGCGAATGTGACGAGAAAGAGAGAGAAAGCGTTTTCCTACCTGTATGACTCTCATGGGCAGGCCAGTCTCCTTCGCCAACTGCTCCCTGATGTGCCTGGTGGGCTTGGGGGTCGACGAGAAGGCCGTCTTCAGGATCTCCAATTGTTTCGCCTTTATAGTGGTCCGCGGGCCGCGTCGTTTCGAACCGGCGCTGCCGTCGCCGCTGCCGCCGCCGGCGCCGCCGTCCGGACTCTTGTTCTCCGTTTGACTGTCCCTCGTCTCGGGATCGCCGTCCAGGGAACCTTCAACCGATCGAGCTATCGCGTCAGAATCGTACGACGATCACCCGGGGCCTATCTCGCCGAGGACTCGTCGGCCGACGACTGCCGCGAGAACTCGGCGTCTTGCGCGATAGCGGAGTTTCGTGTCCGTTCGCTTTAAATACAATAGGCGGGAAACCTAATTCTCAAAGAGATAGAGACATGACTTTTCTAGGGTGACTCGGTCCGCTTTCCGTTTCCCGAAATTGCGCCGGCGGCTAGAATTAATAAGTACGCGAGCGGCAATTTGTTCTCTTCTAAATTATAGTCTTAGCTGATGTAAATATAGCAATATAATTAATTTCTCCTGGAAAACGACAAAGTAAAAGTGAATCGCTCGGTAATTGCTAGACCCAAATTTAATCTGGACCAAAATGTGATGGTTCCGTAGGTTGTAGCCTCGATTTTTAAAACGAGGCGTTGTACACGATTTATAGAGACAAGCTGCAAAGGTATCAGCGTTCCGGGGGGAGGGGAGGCTGACACAATATTTTCAGCGTTACGCCGCGCGTTTGTTATTACCCAGTTCGTCGATGGTCGAGGGATAGTCGGTTTCTTAATCCCGAACTATGCGTATCCGCTGACGCGTGACTCGTCGGTAACCCAGAAATGACTCGTCATCCTCAGACACGAGTCATCATTGCGTTACGGGAGTTTCTAAGCGACGCCCGCCGAGTTGCGATCTCTCGTACCGCAACATTCAAGCTTAAATTTAAAAAGAGAGACGCATTGTCGATCGAGACGATCGGGAATTTATCGTACGTACGCGTACTTATCGGGTGACTCTACGCGAATACGCGAAAACAGCCTGGCAATATCGAGACGACGACAGTTTCCGATGTTAAAAGATCTTAACAAAGCTGAAATAATCATTGCCGGCTTCTTTCCTTTTTTCATCTTATTTAATTCGTAATCCTTTTAATGTCCATCCAATTTAACTCGGAAAACATAATCAAAATCGATGGGTTAGCCAGCGGACATTTCAAGGATTTCAGCGCGGACGATGGCTTTCCGACGAACGCGCGCGGGGGGATAATCGACCGTAAATTCGTCGAGGTAATCGCGGCCGAGAGGCCGCGCGGTAGGTCTGGGACACCCCGTGTATCCCGGTATCTTCATCGGCCGGATCGAGGTAACAACAATCGGAGCCAATCCCCCGGAAGCGATGCGAAACCCCCATCGGATTATCGTGGCTGCTGCCGCGCGCGCACGCTGAAAGCCGTACCCCGCGCATACGTACGCATCGCGCGGTGCCACCATACGCATACGCACACGTACAATACATACACGTAGGTATATAAGTCTCCCCGGCTCTCCACGGTAATCTATACACTATACGTATACCGGGTAGGTCTTAACCGCGGGACAAAGAAAATGTTTGGACAGTGTCACACCGCACAACGGGGGCGACCCCTCGTGAAGACGTCCGCTCCCTGTTCCCCGATCAAGGGGGGGAGCGGGAGGGAAACTTGTGTTGCGTGGTCGTACGAGGCCCGTGCGCGAGGGTGAGGCTAGGTGGTGTACGGCTAAAGGACCGATTGTTGTGCGCGCGATAAAAGAGCAGGAGCGGTATAATGGGCTCGAGACGGCTTCTGACGACGCCCTCGGCGACTCGTGACGTCGCGGCGCCGCGAGTTCGCGGGATCTCTCCGAGGGTGACGTGGCTCTCGAAGGGCAGCCCGATCGAGAGCCGATGATCGAGTTTCGCGTATACCGTGGGGTAATTTACGGCGTGCGAATATGGTCCCGGTTCGTTCGCAGTTGTCGGCCGTGCACGTGTATATACGCGCGATACACACGGAATGTCTAATCACTGTAATCGAGACGACAGCTTAGATATTTCACGCGTGCACTCTGCCCTTTACGCCTGGCTACGCGGTATTGACTTTCGTTTACGATCCCTCGCTACTTTTCTCTCGGCGAGATTTATCTTTCGTCTTTCGCGTTTGACGTAATAAAGACGTTCTCTTATTCTGTCGAGAGGCAGTCTGCGCCGCGTAAAACTGTCCGTATCGTAAAAATATGTATCTCCACTCTGTAATATTTATATCGCTTACACATATCGCTTACGAATGCGATTAAAGAGATTAAAGAGAACTTTCAAAGCTATTTGCAGAGAAATATTTATAGCGCCTATCAGGCAATCTAAAGAATCTACTTTTTTTTCTTTCAAAAACTAATAGAATTTTACTTTACTTATTACAGTAACAGAATATCTTCTAACAGGTATGACTCGCGGGAATAATCAATTTAACTTAAAGAAGAAGATTGTTAGCCGATTGTTTGTACATGTATTATACGCACTATTCTACTGCACATGCCGCGAGATAATTCTCGTGAATAATATTGTTTCCAAGAGAGAATCGCGCGAGAGAGAACTTCTTTGTTTACCCAACGTATCGTTATTTCATCATCTCGGGCTCGATGCGTGAATCCTTTCTTCCAGCGTGAGCTCGTTAAAAGTGAAAAATTTCGTTCAACATTTTACTGTACGCCAATGAAATTTTTCGCCTTTCACGAGTTGACGCTAGAGAAATAAAGATCGAGCTTTGTCTTCGGCAAGCGGGCTAGGACTCACCTTGATCCTCGGAGTCCTCCTGCTTGCAGGGATCGCCGCTGAGAGGTAGTTCGCCACCGTGGCCGACGGCCTGGTCGCCGGGACCACCCGAGCCAATGTTGTGCGTCCCGAGATGGGCGCCGCGAACGGCCGGATCGTGATGGTGATGGTGGGCACTACCGTCCTCGTCCTCGTCTTCCGATCCCGAGCCCATCAGCGAGTCTCCGCCTGCCGACAGGTTGGACGGTTCTGCTCGTGAACGACGCGAGACACCGGCCTTTTTAATAACATCGACCAACGAACCGCCGATTTCGAAAACGACGATCCGTCGCAACTCGCTCAATTGCACAGAAGCGAAACAAAGGTACCTTAATCGCCGTCGACAAGGTACTTGGAATCTCTGAAGTTGTAGTATACATTAGTTTCGTTATATATTCTAAATAAACGAGAAGCCAGCCTGCGAGCTGGCCGAAAATGATTTGATTTCCAATTTTATTTGCTAATGAAAAATTTGCTTTTTTACGGCCTCTGTGCAATTGCAAGAAAGTTCGAAATCAGCGATTTAATTTTTAGCGAACACCCAAGTCGAAATTTTGGCCCTACGTTGAACCTTTATTTCTATTATATAGTAGGATCTAAGACAGTAAAGGAGGTCGAACTGCAAGTACAAAATTTACTCCTACTTTTGCCAATTTAGTATTAAAGTAGGTCCTTTTAAGTAGGAGCTAAAGTAAATTTTTAGAGTTAAAGATTCAAGGGAGTAGTAAAAATATAATGTCATCAAAGTAGGTTATTGCTGGTCTATGTAGGTGTATAGATCAGCTAAGTAGGTGTGAATTATCCTTAAAAGTGTCAAAATAGTACCAAAATTTCGACTCGGGCATGCAGAAATAAATTACAAGTTATCGTGGTATGGATATTATTGATGCTCAGACATTAGTAGCTCGATTTAAGTAATTTTTAATTAATGTTCCGTTGAAACTTGCGTTTAAAAGGAAAATCGATTATTCCTTGATATCGGGCGTGTTAACGATTGTCCTGCGATTTATTCAGAGAAATATAATAAGTGCATTTCGTTAACGCAAGAATGTGCAATGATGTCGCAATAAATTGGCGCTGCATTCGAAAACTTTAAGAAATCTATTCAAACAATTGCAATGCCTCTTCGGGGCAATTTAATCTGTACAGCCACGACGATTGTAGAGTGCGTGGCTGCGAGCGGCGAGTAACGCTTTTAAAAGTCGGCTCGGGTCTACCAGATTTAATGGCGGCGTTGCGCACGAAATACTCCGGGCGCAATATATTGTATTTTACGACGGGAACCGTCGAAAAAATCGTGTCTCCGGATATTAATCTCTTAGCATAATTACTGTACCCCCTGTTATCGTTCTTCCCTCATCGACAGCCCCAACGACAACTGATTCATCTTTCGTAAGAAAAAAAAACCGTTCACCCACAGAAAAATTTCCGGATCCAATGCTATTACACTTGAATGTATCATAAAATAGGATCGATATAGCGCCAATCGTATTTATTACAGAGAAAGGAACACTTTAATCTTAAATGAAAAATTCTAAAATCCAGAATAAAATGATAGTATGTATCGTCCTTTGTCAAATATCGTGGTGCCAACTTCGTACGTTGTAAAATGGGGGGAAGATTTATTCTAAACGCAAGAATATATAAACTTACATTTATATAAGTTACTCTTGTCTCGATAGAGGAGAATAAGAATTATTGATTTTATTTTGATATTATCTTGTTTTTATACTAAATGAGATTGTGAGAAATATAAATGCATCAAGAATACTTTTTGTCTCGGTAACGGAAATTCTTCCTAAGGGTGTCAGAAGAAACATTGACGCTCAAAGTCCTAGCTTACCGTATATTTCTCCAAATATACAATTTCTCTTGAAACAACTTCTTTTTTTCGCATCGCAGGAACTCTGAGATAATTTAGAGAACGCGCTCTGCCTGAAACGCGTAAATCAGGCCTGCACTTGTCTTCGCACGCGCGGGAGAATTGAAGTTTGCTTTCAGGCCGTTCTTCTTCCTGCCTTATGGCAAGATACTCTCGGTGGTTTGCCATTGCCTTCCGAGAAGGTGACAGTTGAATAAAAAGGATCTTTCGCTGAATTTGAACCCGTAACCTTCGGCTCACTGAGCCAGCGCACATCTCTTTGCGCCACGACGCGCCACCGTGAGGGAAGAACGATGGCCGCGGATTTGACAACCGGCAAATGGCCGAGCGCGGATGGCAGAGATTAATGTTGAAAAAGTGTCGGGCATCAAGACGGTCATGTCGCTTAATCATCGACCCGAAATCATCCTGAAGGCTCGCGTCAACATTCTGCCCCCAGTTGCGCGTCGAATTCGTTCTCCACGCGATGGAGATTTCGAGCGGCGCTTCGTACCTGCCTCTATTGTTCCCGCCAGTTATCGATAATCGGTAGTCGAGGACGACGGATGAAAAGTACAGGACGGTAAAATAGATACGAACGTTATTTATAATAGCCCAACTTGACTCGCATAGATCACGCCTCCTTACTTGTATTGTTCAACACGGTATATCAGCACTTTTATTTGATTATTTGTGCAAATAAGAAACTTCCTTTGTTTCTTGGGTCTCCACCGTCTCGCTTCTTGCTCCATTCCCACTTCAACGTTTAATGGCTAATCCTTTTCCGCGAAATCTGTTTGTAAGGCGTCGGGACCGCCCCCGAAAAATCCTAGAATTCTTCCTCCAAGTTTGACATTTGACGCGGCTCACAGATTCGTTCCCGCATCCCGCAGGTATGCGCGCCTCGGGAACCCTCGGTGACGCCGACAAGAACGTCGACGGCGATGACGACGCTTGACGCGGGACTCATCGACAGCGAGCCGGCGGGCCGAATCGGCCGCGGCCGGGGGCGTAAATCATTTCGCGGCGCTCTCCCGCGCTTCGGCGGCTGTCCCACGACATTGTCTCACGTACGGCGAGCACACAACGGGGCCGTGTCTCGGGGCCCCCCGAGATCCCCGGGAGAAAAAGGCGGCCGGGCGAAGAGAGAGAAGAAAACGGGTTGTGTCGGTGCGTTTTGCGGTTTCGGCAACGTCGGCAACGGAACGACAAAAGGTTCGCCCCCTGCCTAACGACCTTTCGGTTTTCGTTTCACGGCTTATATACGAGTGGGGCCCTCGTGAAACCGAGCCGACCCTGCCGTCTCTCTCGCGCCGCCGGCATCCATTTCTCTCTATCTCCCTTCTCGGCCGGTGGTTCACGGTGGCATACGCGCCACGCTGTTTTCACAGCTTGCCGCTTTCTCTCTTTCTTCCTCTCTCCCGCTCTCTCCCGGGGTAGAAACTCCCGTGAAAAACCTGCCCTCTCCGCCCCTCCCCCCCTCGTCCCGCCGACCTGCTGGTCCCTCCCTTTTTTTTAAGCTGATCCTGACTCCGTAAAATCCGTGGCGGCGTGCGCGTTGAACTGTGACCCCCTCGAGCCTCGCTGCTCGAAAAAATAAATCCCGAAATTCTGAGCCACTCGAGAACCGGGTCCCATCGATCTTTGTAGGAATGCTCGAATTTAAAAGGATATCGACGCCGCGTGTTAACGCGTGTTGATATTTTCAAATTTAACTCTCTCTCTCTCTCTCGACTCCTTTCTCGTTTTAGGGAAGCGTCCGAATACTTTCGCGGGTATGTCTTCTGCTTCAATCGGAACCGAAGCGTCGTATTGGCGGCTTTCCGGTTCCCCGATAACTCCGGCGGAACGTCGAGAGATCGGCGAGCGGCGGGCCGCGCGCGATAATTTATGACGGCCGCTCTTTCTCGCGAGCGACGGATAAAATTATTTATCGGCGGCGGGAACGGAAACGACGGAGGCGATCGTAAAACGCGCTCGCGCGAGATCGGGCGGGCGACCCCGAAGGGAAGACGGGGGGGGGGGG